GTCTTTCATTCCCCAAACACTGGCCACACCCCTTTGTAAAGTGTGCATCCTTTCATTACACTGTCCTCAGGTTACTCAGACTTTGCCATCTGTCCTCTTCTGGGGCTCTAACTGATACATACCCCAATTTCAGAGATGTTAAGGTGTGAAAAAATATATTCATCTTAGATATAATGAAACATGGCACTTAGCCACTCTATGCCTCAGTTTCCTTATCAGTAAAATGGGGATAATCATTCCCCTTTAGAATTATCACGAGTGTTAAATGAATTAGTTTATGTAGAGTACTTAGAACCACATCTGTGCACATAATATATGCTCAATAATTATCATTAGTTCATTTGAAGCATTGTGATAGGTGCTGTGGATTATACAAAGATGGGTAAGAGACAAAGCACACTCCCAAGTATCTTGAGCAAATTTTGTCTTTCAGCCCTAGACCTGGATATCTGCATCATTCTGTCAGTAGATATGATTTACTCAACACAAAGAGGTGATAGTGATGCTGGAAATTCCCATCAGGCATTGCAAGAGTACACATGCGATACCCATCGTGAGTGCGGGCCACTGGATTGATCTGAAGGGCAGGATTCTGCTCAGGTCTGGGGGTCCAGGTTATTCTTTTAGCTATGCAGTTTCTTTCCATGGTCTCATTTTCATCACTCCTGTAGGCTTTGATGCAGGAAGGTTTGTCTCTGAAGACTATTTCCCATGTTGTTAGCACCACAGTTGTCAACAGGAGAAGAGGACAAAACAGTACAGTTTTGTGCCCATTGGTACAAACAGCAAAGTATCTGGACATAGAGAGAAAGTATCGATAAAAACCTCCACAGATCAGCCAATTCAGGGAACACTATTCAAAGTTGCCCACTGGCGACATCTTTTTACCTAAAACATTTAGTGAATTTGTAATTCATAAAAATAAATATTAAATAATACCCTCACATAAATCCATGTGATATAAATACCAGTATCCATTCTTTTACTTGTAAATATAAGGGGAATTACTTCCAATACTACCATTATTAAAAAACAAACAAACAAACAAAACACTTGTTTTTATCATTATAAATTAACTGTTCTGGTTACTTACACATAGTACACACAGTACTTACACATAGTTCAGAGTAAGGCAAAATAGCACCACTTTGTCTAAATGCCTTACATCAGAGTATTCCATCTACTGCAGTAAGAGAAAATAGCTGACCCTTCAACATCTTTTCCTTAAGAGAAGCAGCCAGGAGAATATAATTTACAGCATTCACCTTAAAGAGTCAAACACTTCCTGTGTACTCAAAATCTATAATTTAACAGGCTTACTCCTTACCTTGAATCTCACTCCATCTAAAGCAGCAGCAATGCCCTCCAGTTTTGGTCCTCTGAAGTCAGACAGATGATGACTTTGAAGCCGGGTCTCTGAGTTAGAGCAACAGAAAGAGGAATAGTTTTGTACCAGTGCACATAGAGATTAAAGTAGGGACTGACTCCAGAAGAGCAATTCAGTGAGGCTATAAAGCAGGATGGGTGAGAAAAACACAGCAGGAAGAAAGTTTGGAAAAATGGGTCGGTTAATGGGGGCGGAGGATGCTAAGGAATGTGGACCTTATCCTGTAGGCAGGATAAATAGGAAGCCATTGGAGGTTTTTGAAGAAGAGGGTAGTTTTAACAGAGGGATATTTTACAAAGACAATTGGTTGCGTCATGCAAGATGACTCTGAGACATAGACTGGACATAGGGAGACAGGTGAGAAGATCGTTGCTACTCTCCAGGCAAAGGGTAGTGAACTAGGACAGGGAGAAGAGAGGACAGACTCAAGCATCTTTCCAGGTAGAATGGCCAACATTCCTATCTTTCACTGCCAGCTGCTACAATGACAACTGCTTTATCTGAAAGCAAATTACCAAGTGTGAGGAGACTTGGAACAGCAAGACACTGAGCTCTAGGATTTTTGAATGTGGATTTGTTGCTGTGTACACGAGGTGGAGATCCAGAAATGCTTCCTGGAAGCAAAGCATGAAAAAGACTGTTTAAACACGGACAATTGAAAAGAACAAGGTTATTTTTTTTTAAGGAAATTTCTCACACAGAACACTACACTTTCTGTATAATAAAAGTGAAGAAATACCAGAAAGAAAAGGACCCAAAGAGATGAGATGAGAGATACAAGAGGTGTAGTTAAATTGAATTAGGGATGGTAGCTAATCAGTGTTGATTTCCCTTCTCAATTTTTGCTAGAATTTCCAAAATCAGTTCTCCAATCAAGGTGATTGCAAATTGGGACTCATAGTTGCCACATCAAAACTTTGCAACGTATCTTTATGTCATTAAACATGAGAAACGAAACAAGAAGCAAATCGACTCAGGCAGGGAAGTTTCTAAATATAAAGCTCCACTGGAAAGTAATCATGCTCTCGTAAGCTGTGCACGTCCTTGATGATTGTTGAACACGTGTTTGATTGTGATGTTCTTCTAGATTAATGGTTCTTAAATGTTGGGATGTCATGGAACAGTAAATATTTCTAAATGAGTAGATTTTTAAGAAAGAACATTTAAAAATGACTTTCACCATCAATTCACTTTAAAAAAAAAAAAGTTGTTTTAACGCCAGAAATCAGAAATTTGAGAATTCTATAATTTCAGAGTGAAAATTCTTAAACTGACTCAATTTAGAGTTATGTAAAATTTTTACTACATTTTTTTTTTTTATTTCTTCATGTATCACAGAGTACTTAGCCAGGATTCAAAAAACTTTATATCAAATCACTATGTAATCGCTACTTAAGGCAAACGTTCATTAATCTCACTATAGCCCAGTTTCTTCATTGGTCTAAATGAATGAAATTGATTGTTTTTCTATTACATAGGAATGGATATAGATGTGTCCTTTTAGAGGGAAAATGAGTTTGTATAATATGCCAAACTAGTCAAGTGTGTTTGTGATGGGTGTGGACAACCAAGAATGAAAAAAAAATGCTAACCAAAGAATACTAATAATTAATAGTGGTAATGCAGGTGATAAACAGAAAGAATAGAATTAGCTTGAATGTAAAAATGATAATTATTTATAAACATGTAGATAGAGTTTTCTAAAGATAAGGTAGGAAAGAGAAGGAAACTCCTATTTATCATGCATCTACTATGTGACAAGCATTTCTAGAGTCAGTCTTCAACAAAACTCTAGGAGGGAGGTTTGGCTATTCCTGTTTTAGAGATGAGGCAATTGAGGTTATGAATGGACACAGCAGAGATTCAAACCCAAAGGTCCCACAGTCAGTTAAGAGAGAGTACTGTGCCCTTGCCTTTTCTATACCACACTGCCTCTAGAGTTTTTAAAACACTCCCCTAAAGTAGATTAGGAACCCTGGTGGCACAGTGGTTAAGAGCTCAGCTGCTAACCAAAAGGTTGGCAGTTTGAATCGACCAGCAGCTCCTTGGAAACCCTATCGGGCAGTTCTACTCTGTCCTATAGGGTCGCTAGGAGTTGGAATTGACTCAACGGCAATGGTTTTTGTTTGTTTGTTTGTTTTAAGTGGATTAAATAGCACATATCCACTTACAAGAAGATTTACATTTATGTGTGAATTTGTTCTTAGACTTTTTTTTTTACAAATGGTACACAGATGTACTCTACCTAAGAATTATCACAAGTCTCTATTTTCAAAGAACATGAACTTATTATTCCTTAAAACCTTGCTACTCAAAGTGTGATCACCATCTCCTAGAAGCTTGTTAGAAGTGCAGAATATTAAGCCCCTACACAAGGACTATTCTAAAATTCTTAGCCAAGGGAACTAGAAAGAGAATAATAAAATTGAACGTTTTAAAAGACAAGAAAAATTAGTGGAAAACATTGTAATGTATTTTTCTCATCATGGTTTACTCTGCACACTACCCTCATACCCTTCACCCTCCCCTCGTATATTCCCACCCCAACAGACTCCTTAGCTACAAAATGGAGAAGAATAGTGAATAGTGTCTCAAAACCTGAAGCTTTCTTCCAAAGAGAGTTCCTTCTACTTTTTCCTGCATTTACCTCTGTTTTTCTTCCAGCATACCACAAGCCTAGCTGTGGTCTTTCATCTCCTCTCCTCCACTGGTGAGAAGTGTCCTACTTTCTTGGTCCATTGCATTTCTGACTCATGAGCCAGTTAAGAAAACTCATTTCCTGAAGAGTTGAGGCAATAATGGCTGTTTCCTGGTTTTGAGTTCTATACATTTATTTATCTCCAGGGAAGTATGTACAATTGACCCACAATTCATATTCAATTATCTTTTTCTGAGCTTTGTCCCAGATATTGTCAGAAGAATTCTTATGACCCTGTGGTCAGCCCAACACTCATTATATCCATTTTTATAAATGAGGAACCAGAGAGTCAGAGAAGTTAAATAACTTATCCTAAATCAGTAGAACCAGGATAGAAACAAAGATCTTTACAAGGGTAGTTTTCATTCCTTTGCATTGTATTTTGTACTTGTGTATATGTACATTTGTCCAGTAATTCATTGTGTGGTTTATGAAAGAAGTTAAACATGATTACTCCCTCTAATACGCCCTTTACCACAGAACATACAGAGACAACAAACATTTAAACGTAAAACACTTAAAAAGACCACAATACTGCCTTGAGTCTGGTCGTCACTCAAACAACAGTGTTAATCTCTTCTATTTCATAACTTCTGCTTAATTTCTGTTTTTCTTTTCTTAGTTCTGTTTGTTATTGGATAAAGCAGTTTAGGATTTGCCGTTTCCTGCCGCAACAATAAGTTTTCTGTATGGAGTGGACTGGTGGGCTAACACTTCTGCTTGTAAATCCTACTTCTGTTGAATATACAATAATCTTGTCCTCTGGATTTTTTTCACCCTCACCCCAAAATGGTTGTCTTAGGCTGGGTTCTCTAGAGAAGCAAAACCAGTAAAGCATATAAATATATATATATAGAGAGAGATTTATATAAAGCAAACAGCTCACCTGATTATAGAGGCTATAATGTTCCAAGTCTGTGGATCAGAGTAGAGGGCTCTCCCAAGTCACGGAGCTGCAGAAGCTGGCAAGCCCAGGACTGGCAGGTCAGTGAGCAGATCTCCCACTCACAGGCTGTGAAGGTTGACGAATTTCAAGATCTTCAGGCAAGACTGCAAGTTTTCTCCTGATTCACGTAGCTGCAGGGGCTGGTGAGCCCAAAGTCGGCAGGTCAGAGAGCAGGGCTCCCGCTCACAGGCTGTGAAGGTTGATGAATTCCAAGATCGGCAGGCAAGACTACAAGGTTT